CGAACAAGAGGGTGGGAATCCAGACCGAATTGCAAATCCGAAAAACAGGAAAATGCAGCAGGTGCCACACTCATGTCGATGATCCAGATCCATATTTATTGAGAAGGGTTGACGATACGCCTCCTTCTACCCCTTCCTCGTTCTATCTGAAGAACCTCCCGCAATCCCATGCTCGTCACACTCTAGCTTTTATAGGAGGGGAGCTTTTTTCTTGTCCTTGGAGGTGTACAACTTCTTACATATACATGATCATCTTTATGAAATAAAGCTTGAGCTCCGATTCTGGATTGCCTTTCATGATCGATCGCTGCTTCCTCAAACCTACTTGCAAGCGGCCCCGTCTCAGAAGCGACGTGACACACTCCTAGAGAAAAAGAACAAGATGCTGAGCAGCCTTCAAGAACTGCAGGCTGTGTCAGTCCTCTCGGAACGGTGGTAGTCGTGCAAACAATTCGGATTGTTGAGACAAGGTGCGGGCTTGATTTTTTAGTGCCACCTTCCGTGTATGGTAATAACTGCGGAGTTTTTCCTGGAGTTGTCCCTCCACAGCTGCAGATGAGAGAGCCAGCAGAAGCACGAGCAGCACCAGGTTGTTAATGTGATGCGTGCCACACGCATGTGGAGTCAAAGTAATCTGGTGTCGTTTATTTGTTTCGAACTGAACAAGCGAAGTATTTAGCAAAATAAATCGCGATCGAGGCAAAACTCGCTCGCATTAATGATGATTACATGCGGAAGTATCGAATTTGTGTAGTACACGTCGGCAGCACATCATATTGCAGTTTCGGTGCCGGCTAGATGAGGTGAGAAAGCGTCGAAAATCTGGGACGTTGTATTTACATTTACTTTTTCTAAGTCTAACTCTAGCTAGTACGTAAAAAACATTTCTCATCTAGGATGATTGATGCTTGGTTGAAGTACCAAAGCAGGAACGCAAGGGGCTCCTGTGTTCGCTGCATAAGGTACTGTACGATTTATTAGCCGGAATTAGATGATCAAAGAGTTACGACCGAAATTGAAGCCTTCGAAAAAATCCGTGGAAAAACTTTTCGGAAAACCCCAAAAAGCGGTCGTCTCTGTGGTTGTAAGGTCGTTTTTGAGTGCTAGAACTAACAGTAGATCTTTCGAAATGAATATGAACCACTCTTCTACATTTTAAATTCCGCATGCGGTGAGACAAAAGAAAGGCGAAAGTAGCACAAGTAGTCGTGCAGTGCTGATGTAGGTGTAGCATATTAGTCGCTTGGTATTTTTTATCTGGGAGGACGATGAGCAGGTAGTACCTACAGTTGTGAACCCAATATCGCTTTAAGTAAATACTTACATTCTTGTCGTACAGCTGCAAAAATCTTAATTTACAACATGTTGGTCGTTCGTTTGGTAGTTGGTATAGCTTTAGCTTGTTCTTTACTTTCATCTGTTGATGCTCCTGTATACATTGCCATTGATATTTGTACTCCTACTCATTATAATTGATTCTGCCGTTCCAAAAAATCTGTTCTTTTTTTTGCAGCGATTCGATAAAAGCTTTTGTAGGCCGTTTCTGCTACAAGTGCTTACTTCCTCGAAGTAAGAACATGAGCCGGGTCGTGCGCGCCGTGCGTCGGCGTCTCCACTTGATCGATGTGCGTTCGCTTTTTTCGACTTCGCATAAATCTAAAGGAGATACTGATACAATGTGTACAGATTTTTCCATGTTGGGTCAGCATCTTCATGGAAGTCGCATGATCAGTGGAACAGAATCGTCGCTAGGTTTATTCCGGTTCGGGGACTACATGCAGAACAA